GCTCTGTGATACAGAGTCCTGATGACTCCTAACTTGTGCTCCAAAGGCCACTGGCCAAAAGGATGGCCCAGCACAGAAGATCAACATCATCAGGCCAGGATTCTGCGGTCTACACTCATCTCCAGGGATGAAGATGTTCACATCCTGGACAGAGAGGAACGATGGTTTGAGAGGAGTAAAGGAGGCCATCTTTGTAAAAAGAAATTGTCCATCGTTAAACAGGGGTGGAGGCCTCCGGGTTCAACTGTCCCCCTCTTACAATGCTGTGATTGCTAGTATCACTCAGCCCTCTGTGAATAGTAAACTGCCATCAGTGTGCTAATGATCCATTGTTAGGCTGATGGTCCTTCTTGATCATGTGATCAGCTGGTTTTGGTTGTCAGCAGCAAACTGGTTGATCCACTCTGAGAAGGTGCTATTTAAGAGACTGAGCTGAATACAGCACCTCAGACTGAGGAAGTCTCTCGGATGAGAGACGAAACGTTTCTATATTTTTTTTGCTTTGTTTTGTTTTTTGTTTTTTTGAATGTCCAGAGGACCAGATTGAACTGTTTTGAATACTTTCAGTCATGTTTCTGCATTCACTCTCTCACAAGGCGGACACATTTTCTCTCCGTCCCCTGTTCTCTTCTTCTGCGTTGTTGCTCTCTGTTTGTGTCTCGGAGCTCCTGTTGCATATCTTCCAAATGAAAAATACTGTTATGGATCTGGTGAGCTGGACTTTTAACGCAATGGACAAAATCTTTTCAACAAAGCGACAGGGTCCTGGAGAGCCCTTCTGTCCTGCTGAGACTCACGCTGCAGGATACATCATGGATGTGGGGGCTGATGTGTCTTTCCATTTGTCTCATGAGGATGCCAAATACATATACAATCGTATTTATAACAGGTTTCCTGCTTTTTGGAATCGGCTGGCTCCTGGTCTATCAACATACAAAGAAGACGGCTGCAGCTAATTTGGCCCTCGTCAGGCTGCCTGCCTTGATGGTTTGGTTCGTGCTAGGAGTTCTCAAAATCAGCTGATTTACAAGCTAAACCATAAGATGGAAGTGATAAGTGAGAATCGCAGGCCACCTGCGTCTTCTAGGACTCACCAGCATGTTGGAGACAACCTTGAAGGAGGCCCATAGCACGAATCAGTAGAATGCCCACAAATCTGGTAATTTTGGATCAAAAGTACTGAACAAAACCTTCTGCCTGAAGAAATCAACAATTGTGGCTTATCTGAATCTGACTCCCCTGTTTGACCTCGAAAGCAGGCCGACTATCAAATTGCTCCTGGGACATGGATAAACTAAGGAAAAACTTAATCTATTGCAAAATCTCTCTTCCCCCCCCCCCAATCTTTCGGACGACTGTACGAACAAAATCGGATCATAATCATCATAATCAGTCAAATCATAATTCAGGTCTCTCTTGTAAATGAGTCCTCGAGGCTCAATGGGATTAACCTGTCTAAATATAGGTTGAATGAAAAAAATAATGTCACTGCATCTCGGTACAGTGATAATAAAGCTTATTCTGATTCTGAACAGGTAGAGGAGTGGACCGCACGCACGCCATCAGAAAAAGGGTACGTGGTGGTGGGTGTGAAAGAGCATAAGACGACAGCACAAATGGCAATGTTTGCCTTGGACCAGGAGGAGGAGATGGTACATAAAATAATATATATCTTGAATTTGCCCTTTGTGCCATTTTAGGAACTAAAATTATTATTTTTATTTTTACCTACAGTGGTTTGACATATATTACACCATAATCCGGCCACAGATTCTGAGGACCAGTGCATGTGACATGGATAAGGGAAGTTTTTTCCTTTCCTCCATAGGGACATCTATTTATAATCCATCCAATGACATAAACAGACTTCATTTAAAGTAAGTTGACATAAGTTGACGTCAGGATTAATTTCCTCTTATGTGTAAATCTGTTAGAAGTTGCAGTTCTCTCAGAACTCATGTTAGGTTGGGAAATTTACAGCATTTTCCTCTTGAACTCTCTTTTAGATACAACCTAAAACCAGTTTGCAACCTGGAAGCTCGCAGGGTGTATGAGACCTCAGTCAAAATAAAAACAGATGCTGAAAAGGCGCTGGTGGCTGATTACCTAAGACAATCAAATGCAACAGCTGAAAGGCGCTACCGGATGTCGATACCGAAAAACATTGTGCAGGCACGATTAATTTTGAACAGTGCTGCAGGTGACTCAAGGTAAGATAGTTGTACAGTTCACATTTTCTAAACAATAAACCATGTAACCATTTATTTTCACATGAACTACTAAATTTTAACCATTTCTTGGATCTCATGTCTTATTTAGAAGCAAATCTAAGCGAAGAAGCAGATGTGACGAGGCCAGTCTGTCAACTAGCTGCAATATGCAGATTAATGTTCTGATGGCATTTGACAAGCTGCTGGAAACACATCCCGTTTCGGTGAATGAGGAAGTTCCCTCTAAAGAAGTGCGCGTGGCCATTTCACAGCAATACCAGAGGATACTCTACGAGAGGTGGATAAAGGCTCAGATGAAGCTACGTATCAACCATGTGCTCAGTAAGTTTTCTTCTTGAGTTATTCCACGTTAAACTATTTACTGTATTTTTCGCCCTATAAGTCATGTTTTTTTGGGGGGGTGGGGGGGGGGGTTGCACAAATTGCATGCCCCTTAAACTTATAAATCCGAAGCGACATATTTGTGGATTTATTCCAATATTCATAAACCAATTTTTGGCTGAGATATGACCGTTTTCATTCTTTCTGACTGAAAATATTGAACACTACCATTTTCAGCCGTTAGATGTCAGTCAAGTAGTATGGCATGCCGTTGTATCATGTTACAGGTAAAAGTAGCTATCAATGACACGATTGGCTTGCCGTAGCCTGCCACCTTCGTTTTGCTCGCTTGGATCAACCGTCAAAACAGCTTCATTTCGCTGCGCCGCCCCGGCGTAATGCAATTTGACCATTGAAGTGCATTTATTAAGTAAACCTTCAACTGAGACACAACTTTACTATAAAGTCGAGCAAACAAATAATTGTAATTGTTGTTAAGTGTTAATCTTGTCAATTGATTTTTGGCACAACACCGGTCCACATTTCTGGGTGGTCAGCGGTGACGCATAACAAACGCGACGCGTCAGCTGTGATGCATAATAGATGCGACGTATACAGTGAGGCGACGTATTTATGGATTGTTCCACTTTATTAGAATTATTTAGACTGATGAGACTTATGGGGCAGAGCAACTTGTACGGCGGAAAATACGGTAGTTCACTGTATGCTGTTTATATCAATGATCGTTATGTTTTCTTCCATCATAGAACACTTTAGACACTTTTCTTGCCTGCCCAGTGAAAGTCGCATTAAGGCATGGATTAAATCAATGGGTTGGAAAAACAACATTCCTACTGCGTCTTCAGTCATCATGGATTGGAAGTCATCCAGAAACGGGAAGGATGCAATCAATTCAGACTTGACAAAGAAGTCCATCAAGTCATAAAAATAGAGGCCTGCTTGCGAAGGACATTGAGAGGGAAAAACGGGGGCGTTGTAAACCACACGGGATTTTCAACAAGGAGAAGTTGTCTACCATGGGAAGGTGGTGGCAGGTAAAGAGGACCAATCAAACCACACAACATCATTAGAGATCGAGACTGGAAATAAACCGGAGAGTGATCTACATACACTGACATGGTACTGCATGTACACTTATTACATCTTATTTTCACAATGGGAGGAGTTGATGAAGCAGGAAGCCATCCTGGACCAGATGGGTTGCATGTTCTTCTTCCCATCTCGGAGCCAGAGGCTATGCATTGATGCCCTGACCTTCCAGCAGAGTGCCACCCGAACATCTCTTTTCTGTCCTCTCAGACTCAGCCAGTCAAGACAGATCCTGAGCCTGGTTCGATCCTGGTTCTGCTGGAGGTTTCTTCAGGGAGGTTTTCCTTCCCACTGTGGCCAAACTGTTCTTGTTCAGGATGGGAGATTGTGATGAAGATTCAACGCAGACTGAATGATTACTTCATTTGAATGTTAACATTTACTTATTTGCTTTTATAATGTGTGAAGACAAATTTTGTCGTAACTTTGTGCTAGATTAATAAACAATTTCAATTGAAAAGTCACTGCATGTTCATTTTTTTCTTGCAATGGGCAAGTTTTGCCAAAGGTCCAAATAGAAACATCAGATTGGTAACTGGGTTATCTACAGTTATGCAGAATATTTCAAGACTGGTAAAATGTGAAATAGCTGACTCTTATCTGTTGTTTTCATCTTAAACCTTTGGGAACAAAGCTTATAACCTGCACTTCCTGATAAACCGAGTCTAGTCTTGATCCCTTTCACAACTGACTTGGAGTGAGCCATTACATTTGTGCATTTTGAAGACGGTCTGTCAACTGCACTACGGTGATCCTCCGATTCACACGCATATTTCCTGTACCAGATCCGCCCCTGAACGTCACACAAGCTTGTGACTGGCATCACAGTGTAGGTGGGATTCTGCCCTTTGCAATGACACCAAACATGCCGGGAAACATGCAGATCTGGTTTCCTAAAGCAGCTGATGAATGATGCTAATGTATCCAACATTTTTCAGTCAGGTCATCTGGACAAGATGACCTGACTGAAAAATGTTGGATTGTATACCTGGATTATTGAGCATGGACTTTGTTGATGCAAATCAAATGTAAGTCATTTTATCCATCAGAAAATGAATTGTTTCCTGATGCACCAGTCACCCTCTGACTGCCGTCAGGCAGACACTTGGCTCAAATTTCCTCAGTAAATACACTAAGATGATATGCTTTAAAAATAAAATTATATGCATATTATCCCATATGATGAAGGCTAAAGGAACACACATTGACATTAGGCCTGTTGCGATAAACAATAAATCAATTAATCGCATGATGAATGAAAATTATCAACCTCATTTTCATTTTTTGGATGTATCGTTTGTTCAGGTCTCTACTGAAGACACTGGATGACACAAGGCTCAACTCCGGTGCTCTTCACTGACCCCTCCCTTTCTCTTTTCTTTTTAAAATCCATTGTAACCATCCTAAATAGTGTTTTTGGATGGTTACAAGCAGCTAAGCTGAGAAGCTAAGCAAACAGGCAGACCTCAGGAAAAACTTTCCATCTTGTCGAAGCCGCCAAAAAAAAAGAACGAGAGACAGCCCATGTCATGTCAAGGAGCCTCCCATTTTTCTTAAGAGACGCGCTGCTCGCTCTCTCACTATCCATCCTTCAGTTCAGTCTTGTACTGCCATCCAGTGGTCAAAAAGGGTACTACACACAAAAATTAATCAACATTTCTTCTTAAATTTGATAATTACCATTTATTGTTAAATTTCAAAGAATATTATCGTTTATCACAATAATTTCTGAGACAACTAATGACCCAGCAAAATTTGATATCGTGACGGGCCTAATTGTAATAATCATGTTAGGCTTTCCAGGCAGCCGGCTGAAAATCCCCAACTACACATGTAGAATTGTTAGAAGTTGAAAATAATTTTAATTGATATATGACCTAGGTGCATAAAATAAATTAAATGACAAAAAAGTGATGAAACAAATGTTAAAGTGGCATGTTCCACTTGTGAATGGAAGAAAATTCTACTGATGTGTGGAGATTTCTACCTGGGGTTAAAGTTTAGGATATACCTCACATGTACTATGACCAAGCTCAACTCATACCCCTCAGGCCAGACTATATGTACATCCATGAGATCAGTAGTGTTGAGTCCTTTACACAAAAATTATTTAAATTTTCAGCTTTTTATTGGGGGTTCAGTTTTATCAGGTATGTTTAGAGCGTATGATTAACTTAAATGTTGAAATCTTAGAACTATAAACAGACGTTTATTATTTCATCCATCCATCATTGTTACCTGCTTCTTCCTTTCCGAGTCGCGGGGTTCACTGTCCAGCAGTCACTGTGCAAGAGGCGGGGGACACCCTGGACAGGTCTCCATCCATCACAGGGACACAGAGACAAACAAGATGGAACAACCATCCACTCTCTCACACCTAGAGACAATTTATCATTACATCAGCCTAACATGCATGTTTAATTGTACAAAACAAAACTTAGTTCGCCCTACTCTTCCACTTGTGCAGTTCCACTTCACTTCAAACTCTGGTCCCCAGGAATAGTCTGGACTGGATGTCCCATTGGAGAGGAAAGACCAGCAGGTGTGATGTGTAAGTTTGTCCACTAGGAGGCAGTGGTGGACATGTTCTACAAAACCATAAAGTTTAACCTGAAGTATGAAAAATCAGTGGAAACAGCACAAGTCGTGTTATTTTTTTAATTCTTTATAAAATATCAAAAAACAAAACTTGAATGATCTGTAATAAAATGTGTGTATTTTAAACTGCTGGATTCAAACTGATTACATGACAAAGCAAAAGACATAAAAGCAGTTCTGTTTGGATATAATGCAGGTAGTGTACCAGATGCTGGAGCATACAACACAGTCTCAGAGGTGTCATTTTATACATTTCTGATGGGGAAAAAATAGTTGAATAAATGTTGGAAAAGTCTGGTGGACTAAAATCATAAAGAGTTCTACATGTAACAATTTATGTGTTATCTCAAACAAATCACAAGATATCACTCAGACTCTCAGCTTCTACCACACCAAATGTTTTGTCAATTTCACTAAAACTAAGTGAATTATAGCCATTTCTGTGGTTTTTAAAGTCTGTTGGTTGTGTCGGCCATCTTGATGTGGGTTGACTACAAAGATTAATCAGTTGTAATTGTATATCCAGTGACTACTTTCTGCAAGTTTCAATAAAAATTATCCAGTGGTTCACAAGATATTTTGCAAACAGACCAACAGGCAAAAACCTCATCGCCTGCCTTTTGACGGAGAGTGATAAATATGCCCTGTCAAAACTGAGACATGTTTGCTATATTAGTTTTAACCCTATCATTACAAGCCTGAACTTATTTAGAATATACATCATTATATTTCTATATTTAAAAGAGTTTATTTTTTCAAAGCTCTAAATTGACATCAGGTTACTTTGTTTTTACGTTTTCTTTGCTTTGAATCAACATAATGACACTTCACAGTTTGAAATTTTTAAAAATCAGTAAATAAAAACATGTTAAATTGAAACTAAGACAGAAAAACTGATACAAGTTTTAAATAAAATTAAAAAAAAGACCAAAAAAAGTGTGAAATAAAGATTAAAGTTCAGGTTTCCACCTTGTTGAATGAGGGCTGAGACGTTCACCGGAAATTGTCGACAATTGCCGAAGATGACGATCCGCTCACCCGAAGGGGACCAGCCAGTGTGTGTGTGCGCGCGCTGAACTAAGCGGAGGTGAAGAAGAGGAGGATGAAGCTTGGAGCGGAGGATGGGAGGAAGAGTGGAGTAAGAGCCAGGCTAGCTGTGTGTGAATGAGTGAGTGAGGAAGAGGAGAAGAAGGTCGTCGGAGGGGCCGGGAAACAAGGACTACATGTATTTTAGAGCACGAGCTCCAGGGTATTACCAACGGAAACTTTTAACTTTTTACCCGCCACAGCAGCTCGGCTCGTGCCCGAAGCCGGCTTTGTCTCGCGGCGGGGGTGTCCAAGATAAATGAAGGAATAAAACTGATCACCGTCGATATTATTTTACCGGAGCGGGAGTAACCCTGGGAGTGATTTAGTGAAAGGTTACGGGAGGATGGCGGCCAACATGTACCGAGTGGGAGGTAAGAAACGGTTTATATATCTTTGTGACCCCCTCCCCACCTCCCCTTACATGAACACACGCTCGCGCACACACAAAGTGATTGTTCGTCTCCGACACGAACGTGGCTAGCTAATCGCTAGCTGTCTGAGGTTAGCCGCTAACTGAAGCTAGCTCGGTCCGCGGTTCGTGTGCGTCAAGTTTTATGTCTTAGAACGTCACAATCTTTGAATGGTAATGTGACCAATTAAACGCACGAGTACTTTATGACAATTTAACAACTATTTTAAGTATTGCTTGTACAAAATGAAGCTTTGGTAACTATGTTATTCAACTTTAACAACAAATCAATACATCCAGATAGTTGCCTCAACAAAATATCCCACGACAGGCTGCAGGCTGGGGAACTGGTTCTGAAAGTTTAAAAAAAACAAAGTAGTCCCTCAAAGTGTATATTATTGTGTTTTATTGAATTTACTCTTAGTTGCAAATAAATGCGGCAACTGATGAATCCCACTGTTTCCAGTGAAGCGCTCACATTAGCATGAACTCGGCGATGTTAGCGTTAGCCGCTAGCTCGGTTAGCCTGGCCGGAGGGTTGATTCCATTATCACATCCGCCATATCACTTCAGTGTCGCTGCTAACTTGGAGCCACATTAGGTTAGCTTAAAGTCACGTGACTCTCCTGTCGGCAGCGCGCTCGCGCTTCTATTTATACATTTGTTAAATAAGAAACAAACTTCGAATTAGCGGTCTGCTAAACGCTCAAGTTTGCGTTGTATCCCGTAAAATGTGAAATTGAAAGTAAAGAGAAATACCCAAACTTTGAGTAACATTTCAAATATATATATTTTTTTAACTATCAAACAGTGGAAAAATAATAAAAGTTAGGGTCGATTTGATGAAGGATTTCACTTGTTAAAGCCCAAACTGCATTTCACTGAAACGGGATCGATGGTGAAACAAGGTTTTGAGTTTATCATAAAGTCTAATTTGGCAACTTGTAAATGCTTTGTACATTTTTGTTATAAATGCTGTAGCTTGTGTGTGTTAGTAATCACTCTAAAACTGTACTCTGTATTTAGGTCATGCTGGTTAAATCCTGCACAATATGCTGCATAATCAGTGATTAATGTATTTTGCTTGTTTTTTTTTAATACTACTTGTTTGCTGTGCATCCTTTAGTAAATAATGTTGTTTTGTAATATTAGTGTGGATTTGTGGAATTTACACACGATAAATGATATTTTGACTTTAAATGGAAATTGCATACTAAAAGATTTATAGTAATGTTCGTTGATGTGGGGTTGTAAATGTGGGTTAAGTACTATCTTACCAGTTGTGGATGGCTTCTTGTACAACCTCAGTTGTGGATGGCTTCTTGTACAACCTCAGTTGTGGATGGCTTCTTGTACAACCTCAGTTGGGAGAAATAGTTTACGTCTAACTGGGCTGGCTAAAGGTTACTGTAGTCTGAAAGCAGCTATGACCAAAGCTGCAGTCATAAAACAGCTTTGCTGTTAGTTTAATGTTGTTCATGCAAACATGTTACACCACTATCACTTTCACATTAAATGTTACATCACAATAAATAACAATGTACATGAAGTTCTGTGGTTAAGCACCAGTTGTACCAACGTCATGTAGCACTTCTGAGGCATCCAGAATGTGATTCATGTGATTATTTTATTAACCTTTATTCAACCATGTATATCCCATTGAGATCACAGATCTCTTTTGCAAGAGAGGCCTTGGCCTGTGGGAGGAAACCAGACTACTCAACGAAAACCCACGCAAACACAAGGAGAACATGCAAACTCAGAAAGACCCCAGGTCCAAACCCAGGACCTTCTTGCTGTGAGGCAACAGTGCTAACCACTAGGGATGCACAATATTGGATTTTTGGCCGATATGTTAAAACTTATTTGACCCATAACCAATATAAATATTTTGTGTACTTACTACTTTCCTTTGTCAGAACATATCCCTCTTATTTAGGCTTATTTGCTACAAAAATTGTGCAACCGCTGTAAGAGCTGGTGACATATATGCAGTAACAGCCATATGATGTGTATAGCAGTTTAACTTATATTAAATGAAAAGTGTTAAATGTTATTTATTAGCATTAGTGACCTGTGATGCTGTCTCACTTGTGGAGGCTTGTTCCAGGTTCCTAGCTACAGTGTGGGATCCTCTGCACTCCTGTGCATGAAGGACAGACTTTTTAAGTTCAAAGTTTTTGTCTATCCATTGTGCTGTAAGACTAATCATTAGGGGTGGGCGATAAGGCTCAAATATAATATGATATTTCAGAGCATTCTGACGATAACGATAAATTGTGTGATATAACAACAAAAAAAGACAGAAATCATAGTTATTCATTTGACAAAATGAACTTGTTGCTTTGCAGTATTATATATAAAAAAACAAGAGTGAATTTTACTGTAATTACTTTATTTAGTATTCAGTCTCAAAGTATAAAAATAAAAATTATCCTTCTGTTATTTAGATTGAAAAAATCTGCACAAAATATAGATCAACAAAATCCACCACAAAACTAAAGTGCAGGTGCAGTTCCCAAAAAAACTAAATAAAATTAAAGCTTAAAACTTGTGACAAATGCTGAAAACAAATTAAATGCTGCCTGAAAGGATTGCTGATCAGAACAGCTATCAGCCAATTTCCTGATCTTCAGGAAAGTAGCTGGTCTCGAGGTTTGAGCTCCACAGTTCCCAGTTGCTGTTAATTTAGTGCACAGTCAGACTCGGGTAAGGCTCCGCAGTCCTACTTGACCATGAATCGGTGGTCGATGCATTCAGTGTTTCCTCTACTATTATTCAAGCAGAGTGCTCCGCTGCGTCAACAGAATCGAGGGCACAGTCTACCAAACTACGCGCACCACCCCCACCCTTCTGCACTGACGTAGCTCCAAGTTGGCAGCGCACTAGCTTAAAAGCTAAAAGCAACATCTTCCCTCACGCTGAACTAGGGATGCACAATATTATCGGCATGGTATAAGTATCGGCCGATATCAGCGTTATAGTTCAGTATCGGACATCGGCCATTCCATCATAATAACTCACCGATATAAAAGTTGCTGTTTTGCCTGCAGCGGCAGCACAACGTGATGACGTCATGTGGGCCTACCCAATCTCACGGCAGAGAGTAAAATTCAAAATGTTGGCAGTGTGGCAATTTTACTTTTTGTTGGTGAGGATGTCAGAGTCTGAAGATTTATGGACTACGTTGAGCCTCGTTACATCGTCCCCAGTCGGAGATATTTTTTCCGATGTAACGTTACCAGAGTTAAAAGCCGTCATTCCTGACGTCATTAAGAAGCTAATAGCTGATAGCACAACTTGTTGGGTGAGTTTTACCACAGACATTTGGACATCATGTTATCCCCGTTAGCATGATTAGTTTTACAGCACAATGGATAGACAAAAACTTTGAACTTAAAAAGTCTGTCCTTCATGCACAGGAGTGCAGAGGATCCCACACTGCAGCTAGGAACCTGGAACAAGCCTCCACAAGTGAGAGCATCACAGGTGACTAATGCTAATAAATAACAATGAACACTTTTCATTTAATATAAATTAAAGTGCTATACATATCATATGGCTGTTACTGGATATATGTCACCAGTTCTTACAGCTCTTACACAATTTTTGTATTAAATAAGCCTAAATAAGAGGGCTATGTTCTGACAATGGAAAGTATATAAAATATCGGTATCGGTTATCGGACAAAAATCCAATAACGTGCATCCCTACGCTGAACCCTCACGCTGACCACTTTTTAATCCAAATCGTGTTTATTCAAATGTATTTTTCTTTCTGCAATCATTAATCCACACAACCAATGCAGTTTCCATCTTAACAATCGTGCCATAGGTGGCCGGCAACATCTGTGTAGGTACGGCCATCTTTAAGTTTGTCCAGAAGTTCCACTTTCTCTTTAATCGTCAGCATCTTCCACTGGAATTTTGGTTCGCAGCCAGAAACTTTTTAACACAAAAGTTGGGGAGCTATCCAGTTGAAAAAGAGCGGAGGTAAACAAACCCCCTGCTATTAGTGCGTTAGTGACCATCTGCTACTGTACCAGCCAATCAGCGCCCGGGTTACTAAGCATTTCAGTTTAAAAGCATTTATGGCATTTTGGTTCACCGCCAGAAACTTTTGAACGCACAGAACGTTTAGAAAACGTAACATGATTAATGTCCAGTTGAAAAAGATCACAGGCAAACAGGTGCCTTGTAACAGCCATCGAGCGACCGGGAAAACAGAGCTGACAGCCAATCAGCAGCCGGGTCAACGCTCTGTTTCTTAAAGCGACACGTCCTCACATGAGTTACAATTTCTTTTGAATCTTATGTTTGGAAAGTTGAGTTTTCTTAAAAATATATTTTCCATAAGATTTGACATGATTTCAATTTTCAAAAATGGACTGCATTTATACAGCACCTTTCTATCTTATCTAGAAACTCAAAGCTCTTTCCACTACAATCTGTGCCTCATTCATCCATTCATACAGCTCTATACTAGATCTCTACAAAGCTAATTGAACAAATCATTCTAAAGAGGCTAATCAGTGCTTTAGATCACATTCATACACTGATGGGACACATCGGAGGCAATGAGGGGTTTATTGTCTTGCCCAGGGACACTTCAGCATGTGACTTCTGGTGGATTTGAACCCCCAACTTTTGCATTGGAGGACGACTGCTCTAACCACTCAGCCACAGCCGCCCAAATTTGACTTTTGAAAGGCCGGTTCAGCAGTCATGACTTTGCTTTGCAAAAATACCGTTTGACAGAAAACAGCGCTCAGAGGCACTACAGCACAGCATTGATGTGAGGGAATGTAGTCCGTCTGAGTGGCGATTACAGTGGAGGCTGAATGAAAGAAAACTACAAAATGGCGGCGCCTGTCTGAATTATTATTTTTTTGTCATTAACTTTTTCACATCCACATGAGTTCTGTACAGTGATATTACAATCGTGTGTAAAAAAAAAAAAAAA